TCAAAACATCACATCCTTCATGATATCTTGCACCCCATAGGAAATAGTGAAAATTGATGGTGGGCAGTATAAATAAATAAACAAATTTATAATATAAATATATTCTATGTTGAATCCCATTCTGCAGGACTGCCACACAAGGGCTTGGGACGCAGTGGCCTCCTACATGCAGAACCACATCAAGGTGTTGTCCGGCCGCACCTTGGAAGCGGAGCAGACGCTTATGCCGGCCAGCAGATCGTGGTTGCGAGACACGGTGATGGAGGTGGGTGTGTAAGGGTCAATTTTTTTCATCCCCAAGACAAAAAACAACATCCACTTAAGTCAGTAAAGGTTGTTCTGAATAAAATTGTTGACCATCGATTTCTTGGGTGTTGTTTCAGAAAATAGGTGTCAAATGGGGCAGCTGACGACCACAGCATCATTGTGCTCATGCAATGTCCTGTGGTTGGCATCATGTCGGCAGCCTTCAAAGGGTTCATGATCACCTACATCTGCAACATTCTCAGTGACTACCCGGTCAACTCGATATGCTTGCTGGTACACCCGAATCGGGCAAGCCAAGACAGGATTGTTTACACACACACAAAAAAAGGTTGTGTTGGATTTGAAAAAAATGATTCGGTGAGCTGATAGAAAAAGCACCAAGTATGTCTCGTACCTCCAAAGCAAACAGTAAAGAAATGCATTCATCTTTGCGTTTTATCCGCCACCAGCTCAACACCAGATTTCTCCGTTTGAGGGCCATGCCACGCCCCTGCAGGAAGCCTGTGAAGCAAGAAGCGGTAGAGAAGAAAGAGGAATCGAATGTCAAAATGGACGAAAGTGAGGATGAGAATTGCCCGGGCATCAAATCAGTGGAAGAGTCCGAGGAAATTCAAGTTCGGGACATCAGGTACAACTTGGAGACACTTGTTTGACACTGTTTGGTTTCCCCGACCTTTTTTGGGTGTGAAGCTGTGGCAATGAGGGGGGGGGGCATTAATTATCTCTAATGGGTTACTTTCGAGCGATCAGTCATTTTCAATCTGAGGACGCAATTGTCCATGAAAGACCGAAATTTGAAAGTCCGGCCAATGACGTGGATCTTCGACCCGGCCATTTGGCTTTAATTTTGTGATTTCCTCAAGAATCCCAGTCAAATATCTATAATTGATATCTCATTGTTCTTATATTTCAAAACCCTTTAGCTATTAGGAGAAAAGATCGTATATTTCATTGAACCTGACAGGCGACAGTCTACGGCAAGCGCGACGGGGTGCTGACAGGGCTAGCCATTACCCACAGAGATTCCAGGAATTTGTTCCACGCCACCAAGGGCTGGAAGACGGGAGCTGTGCACGGAATTGGTATGTGTCCACGGTCAGAAATGCACAAGCCAGAGCAAGCAACTTGCCAAATTTGTTTTGACATCAAACCCCAAAGTAAATTTTGTGTTTGGGAAGAATGCTTCTTGTCGCCCTCGGGTTAGAGGAAAAATCTCTACCGCAACCCTGCCTGCAAGGCATCGCCTGGTATACATTCTGTACCACACCTTGGCCGAGCATTCACGGATGTTCAGGAGCAGAAACAGGTGCCAGGGAACATGCGCATATGGATTTACCAGTTGCCAATCTATGCTGGCCCTAAGCGTGCTTGGGGCCACCACGATCTTAAGGAACCCTATTACCCAGTGATAGTTATCTTATTTTTGAGGAACCCTATGATACTTATTATCCTTGGGATTCTTTTCAGGTACCTTATTATAATTATCCTGCAGATTCTATAGGAACCTTATGATACCTGTCCTTGGGATTCTTTGGGTGCCTTATGATACTTATTGTCCTTGCGCTTCTTTAGGAATACTATGACTTATCCTGTGGTTTCACACAAAGTCACTTGACACGTGGGGAGGCTGTTTTTTTCAATTGAAGGCCATCGGTTCCCTGAAAGTTTGATTCTGCGCCAGGTAGCTGCGGGGACCGACTTCGTACAGAAAACTCTGGACGCATTCCAAATCCGCTCCTCGAAAACAAATGTGCTGGTGGATTTGTACGGCTACGACGGCTGGGCTGCCCTGGCCTGCCTGCAGGATAATCAGTCACAAATTAGCAGCGTTTTTGGTTTTTGAGGGGGAAAGTAGAATATGGCCTTTAGCCCAAAAGTTCCAACAAACTATGTCGGGGTTTTGCCATACAAAGAACCATTCAGGAAATCCAAGAGGGCAGGGAGTGCGTTTGCGCAACGCTCTGCCTCGACAACGGCGGGCAGGACTTGCTGACCCGACTCAGCAATGCAGTTTACGAGCAAGCACGGGCTGGCAATTTGCAGATCAGCTCGTTCCCCAAATTCGATCCTGTGCTCAATGCGTTGCGGAATGGCAGTGCCACTGATACAGCGAAGAGTTATCGGGTGAGCTCACAACGACATGACCAACTCCTTGTCCTAGAAAGCATGGCAAAGAAGTGGCTCGAGGATCCAGAGTTTGAACAACAGGCACGCGATGTGATCACTGCGCACAACGACGAGTTCAATGCCTCTGGTGAGTTTGTGCTCGCCGCAGAAAGGTATGGGTGGAACAAAACTGGTCATATGGCTTCACACTTGCTAGTAGCAACCCTCCAATTTTCAAAGTAATACTGACTTGCCTGTATCGTGGTTCAGCTTGGGGTTTTGTAACCAGTAGTGAGCCACTGCTTCCTGGAATTCAGCACATCAATCCCAGCTCTGACATGAAATATAAGCCCACAAAGTTCACCTCCAAGATATGTTATCTTGTTTTGATAGGAGTTCTTATCCGGACTTGTTCAGCCACACTCCAGGACTGAAGCAAGGACAGGAACATCGGAAGATGACCCTTTGGAAAGACCTGCGAAGCGGATCAAGCTTGAGGCCTGCAAAACCGAGGTGGTTTCAAAGTTGGTCCAGTCGAATCTTCGATTTTGTTTGATGACGTGCTATCTATTTTTATTTCTGTGCTGTTCTGTGGAAGTCCCTGGTTCAAAAACATATCACTTCCCCAGTAGCCCCTACTAAGCCATGTGTTTACCGGGTGGTTCGTGGCAAATTCAGGAAGGTGCTGCAGCTGAACAACACATGCGATCTGATTTCCGGTGAAGACAAGATCTACATATCTTCAAGGAACCAAAACCAATTCTTTCAATTGCGTGAGATGCTCCTTGGCTTATAGTCCTCCCTAAGAAAATCCATTTTGGGGAAATGGGTGGATAACAAAACCTTCGCACAAAAAGCCCGGTGGTGGTCGAAACATGTTTGGAATCAGCTGTGAATGTATGACTTTTAAGGCCCTCTTTAATGCAGTTGAATGTCGGATCTTTACTTGTATATCAAACCCAGGTGGGGCTATGGAAGTGGCGAATGGAGGGATGGAGCTGTGCTTTGTCAGCCAAGTCAACACTTTTCATATTCTTCCCAAATCAAACCGTATTACAAAATCCTGACCAGCACCTCACCAAACAATAACATAATCCAGCGGGGTCAAACTGAAAAGCAAGGAAGCTGGCGAAGTGACTCAGAACGCAGAAGGGCGTTGGTTTGCATTCAACATCAGTCGAACCGACTTCATGATCCTAGAGAAGCGAACCTTACCCACACACCTCCAGGCCTTGCCAAACACTGACGTCGCAGTGACACTCCAGTCCCTGATCAACGATTTGGAAGATCTTGGTGAGGCTAAGGGTGGCTTCAAATTTGGCTAGGCCATTTTAAGCCTGTTAAGTGGAATCTGGGATTTTACTTTGACACTGACATGAGTTGACCCCCCTGAGGTGAAAATTAAGCTAAGTCACCATGAACGTGATGGTGATGGAAACTTCAAATCAGTGAAGCCACTCGTCTTCGTAATGGACGAACCAGTGGATGACGGACAGCAGGATGCAACCAAGAAGGAAAAGGAGAAGAAGAAGAAAAAGCCGGTGATCACATCCCGCAACTTCGGGGCCTTTGTCTCAATTCCGGCCGTGAAGGGTGCCGACAACTTGGTCCTTGCGTGGCGATGCAGGCCGCTCGGTTTTTTCCCTCTATATGTCCCTTGATGTCCCCTGGAAATGTATATTCCTGTGCTGGGCCCCATTGAATTTCTTAGTGGGATTCACTGCTGCCCCAAGGATAGATGCCGCTGGTGCCACCGAAAAGGGAGCAAAGCTCATCGTGCCGATTCGACCCGTGATGTGTTTGAAGTACCAGCTGGAAGTGAACAGTGAGACCGTTTGCTTGGTGTGAGACACTATAAGCCAAGTTTGCCTGATGGTGGGGTCAACTGCCTACTATTGAAAAGTCACCTTTTCAAGAGAACACTCAAAAGAGAACGTTTTTTTAAATCGCTGTATGACATGGTTGCTCCGGCAAGTGGACCTGAAGCACGCTGAGTGCGATTTTGTTCGGGGTAGGGCTGAAGCAAGTCGCTCGCCCGCTGAGGTGGTCAGTCAAGTGAACCCTCCAACATCTAGTACCTTATGGACCGTTTCTACATATCCTACTTAAAGTAACTTAGGTTTACTTAACCTACTTAATAACAACTTATTTCTACTTATCTTTAATTGAATTTTGAATACTAAAGATAAGTAGAAATAAGTAACTTAAACTAGGTTATAAGTAGAAATAAGTAGAAATAAGTAGAAATAAGTAGAAATAAGTAGAAATAAGTAGAAACGATGTAAAAATCATAGTTTTCTCCAAAAACACATGTTTTATGAAAAACCTTGTTTTTTTGTGCTTCACAAAGACGTTTCACGACAGTTCAAACATAATATAATGCGTGCATGTAAAGAATCTTTGGCCAAAGAAATGCTATTTTTTTGATGTGCTGTTACGCTGCTCACATGACATGAGCGGGCACACCGCTGTTTTTCGTGTGAAATGAGCGGTCACACCGCTTTGTTTGGTGACATGAGCGGGCACACCGCTTTCTGTGACATGAGCGGGCACACCGCTTTGTGTGGACACAAGCATGTAGCAAGCAAGACTGCGGTCAATTTTTTGATCTCCATGCTGCTTTAGACTTAATCAGAAATCATTTTGTCGATTTCTGTACTCAGGGACAGCACTTCGTTGAACAGCGCCGGGTCGAAGTGCTTCAGGCTCGGGAGGACATCCTGGATGATCTCGATGTCTTTTTTGAAGGCACGGCGCCTGTATGGGTTCATTTTCTTCAGCAACTGAGATGGGTCTCCAAGGGCCACAGGCGGGCATGCCATTCCATCGGCATCAATGTCGTGCCCAGAAGTTCCACCCAGCCTGCATCGAGTCATTGTTATCAGCACCCACAGGTTGCTGAGACACTCAGTTTGTGGAGTGCGACCAAGTTCGGTGCAGACTGAGCGGCAAAATTCCCGGCATGCTTCCAAGCGTTCTTGTTTTTCAGGTGGCCAAGCGTCAACTTCGGCAGCAATCTGGCATGCCAACAAAAAGAGCGCTTCCAGCATGGCACTTTTCGCGACGCAGCTCTTGTCTTTCTACGTTTGAGACACAAATGTTCTGCAGGTATTAACAATTCCAAGGATCAGCAGAAGCTTCTATAGTCACGGTGATACAAGAGCATCCAAGTGAGACCCAAGTGAACTTGTGATCACAGCCTTTTTTTTTCAGCGCAAGCACGTGATATACATCTTGTCGATGGAGAACCGGTACCATGTAGGAATGGTATATGCTTGAGTTGTTGAGACTGCTGCAGTGACAACATCGGTTGTAACTCGCCAAATAGATCCCCATGTCTTCCTCTCGACCTTGCTTGAAGGTGTGCAAAATCTTTCAATGGTAAGTAATGCTAAATTGTTTTGGGAAATGAGACAATACCAAGAAAGTAGGAACATGTAAGCAATGTTCGGGCCCAGCAACGAATGCCAACTTGGTGTAGCGCAGAAAAAGGCCATGGTCCGGCTGTGAGAACCACTCAGAGACGATGCCAGCTTCGTGCTGCCAACACAAGATGTCGCCTTGCCTGATTTCGCAAGCCAGCAGGTGGCAACCTTAGATATACACGATAGCTGGGATGCCTTTTGCAACAATGTGTTGACTTGCGCATGAATACAACAAGAAGCGTGAAACATGTGAAGGTTTTAATGCAGATAAATGTTAACAATTTTATTCATATATCTGCACCTAAAGCGGACACACCGCTGGAAATCTGTAAATGTGGGAAGCAGCAACAAGAAATGGTAACCATATACGACAGCGAGATACGTTGGCTTGTCTGGAGACTGGTAGTCGCGAGAAAGATTTTGTCATCCAAGCTAGCTTCTTTGATGGGCGGAAGCAGTTCCCAAAAAGGCAGCCCATGCTTCTTGACAATGTCTAGACTTGTTTGCAGCAGCCGGCAAAGCACAGATGCGGAAAAACTTTCGTGGTCTCTGACTTGCCCCACTTGCCTGTCAGCAACCCCAGATTTGTACAACCGATGCTTCGACTCCAGTGGTTCGCAGTTCACCGGCACACCAGCAGCCAACCATTGTGTGGGGATATGCATTCGGTGATGGTGCTTGGGCTTGTGCTGCTCACCATATGCCGCTGCAAACAGCGTTTGGTGCTTTTGCTGTAGGGCAGCAAAATGCTGCATGGATGCTTCGTCCAGGGGGTAGAGGCCATGAGATATTTCTCGAATGAAGGATACGATGTTGCACAGACACCGAAAGGATTCGACACAAGCGGGTGGCACACGGCTCGCTGGCTCTATGAGAGTTTCCATGTAGTACCGGACCAATGGTACCAACGCTGCTGTCTGGTGGGCCTCGCCTTTAAAGTTGTCGTCACTGAACATCTTGGCATTGAGCAAATTTTTCACATAGTTTTGTGTTTTGCCACTGGCCTTCAGACCCATCCACTGATCAGAAGCTACGGCTCCTTGGAGAATTTCCAGCGTCACATCCACTGATCAGAAGCTACGGCTCCTTGGAGAATTTCCAGCGTCACAAATGATCAAAAACAGATTGCAAAAATATGGCAAGCTCCCAGCTCGCGCATCCATTTGTCATGTAGCAGTGCATAGTGTCATTCATGACACGTGAAGGAGGGAGCTTTGTTCTTTCAGCTTCTGAAAACATCAAGGACGCCTCATCGAAGACAATTCCCGAAGCTTTCTCATAGATCTCCCTCTCCGCCTTCGTTCTGAAGCTCTTCAATTTGTCACAATGGCCAAAGATCTCTTGGTCTGTGCTGACTTTGAAGCCACCTGATGCCCCAACATCCTTCCATGTGCTGTCATTGAGGAAGCTTGAAGAAGTTGCCTTCACGACGTTGGAGCAAAGGACGCAAGGTCTGAGACCTGCGCTCCCCTTGAGCGAAAACACCGACCTGATGGCGTCATTGTCCCCCAGAAACCAAGCTTTTTGGTTTTGTTTGAAGTGGACCTCTGGAGTCAGCAACCAGCCAGCTTCATGCTCACCGCTGACCAGGTGTTCCAAAATGGATTTCATGATTGCTGAGCTACCTCCCACGATTGCGGAGCTGCCTTGCAAACATGCTGATTGCACGACGCAGATAACAATCCACATCGAAGGGCTTTTGAGGTGATGCCAGCACTGCAACCAGGACATGTACCATATGTTTGCCTTGCGCAATTTTTCCACAGACAATATGTTTCCTGCCTGGCACTCATCGCAATAAAAAATGGGCGTCAAAACGCCAGTTCCAAGCAGCGCCCTTGCTAAAGCCTTTGTGAATGCCGGCGACTCATGTGCCATTCTCTGCAAGGTTGGTTTCAAATCCACAATGGGTAGCACCACCTGCCCACCTTCATAGGTAGGAAATGCCACGTTGATGGTAGCCTCTTTCCATGGTTGCAGCTCCTTGTCCACGATTCTTTGGAAACTTCCCCTTGCAATTTGTTCGTCCTCAGCATGCCAGAGGTTCCAAAGCTGGTTCACAGCTCTTTCGGAGGCTCCTCGAACCGACAGGCCACGCGCAACTTGGTCACGCGCCTCATCTGTGGCCTTTCTCTTTGGCATCGCGAAGGCATTATCAAAAGATTCAATACAAAACCAAATGTATCTGTATGGAGACATAATGAGTAAATGACTTTGAGTTGGAAATTGATATATGGACATTGAGATAGGTAGATGTACAGATTGATATATGGATAGATGGATAATTGGACTGACAGATATATAGTATATCCATATCATGTATTGTCAACTGTTGAAACTTGACATCTTCAAGTGCTTGTCACAAAAGCCGCACAATATATATTTAGGAGCAGAATATGTCTGAGTTGTGCATGCGACAGTAACCAAGTTGTGCATCCTATAGTGACATGAGCGGCCATACCGCTAATAAGGAGCGGTCACACCGCTGTGCAATGAGCAGCCACAGCACTGTACAATCAGCGGTCACACCGCTTTGCATTCTTCTAGAAACAAGAACTCAAGGTGGAATGGATCTCTGCATGTGAAAAACCGCATGGGAAGCCAAGACATGTAGCCAAAGATTTTGATTCTTTTTGCCATGCTCTTTTGCCACTGCTGCGTCGAAAGAAACGCAACAATCAATGCGGAATTGCGAGGATCGAATTTCGAGTCATCAAATCTAATTGCACTGTCAAATGTGTCAACTATCACTTGGCCTTGGGCTTGGCGCTACGCTTTGCCGCCGGTGCAGCTTTCGGTGCTGCCGCCTTGGCCTCCCTGGCTTCGCGAGACTTCTCTGTGAAAATCGCCCGGCAATCTTTCAAAACTGCTTGGGCGGCTTTGAGCTGGTCATTGCAACAGGAGTCAGCATCAAAGCCTTCAGGCAAGCTGGAACTTTTAGTCCCATCAGAGGCGCTGATGAGCTGGGTGGCACCTCAATGCAATCAACATTGAGTGGGCACATCGCGGTTTACAGTCAATGGTTATTAAGTAAAAGAAAAATTCTAAACGCCTTTCACTCGGCACATTAGAATATTTTGAATCTAGTACGGTACATGAACACAAGTCTCAACAAGAAACAAGCGGACACACCGCTGCGTGGCGAATCCCTGTATTATATCAATTTTCGCTTTTAAGATTGAACCGTTACATTGTTGACAAAAAGAAGCGGACACACCGCTGCCAGGGACACAAATTCTTAGGCGGCCCAGTGGCGCTGCTTGAAGTAATTCATCTGCGTAACAGCCTGCTTCAGGCCATCAGTCAGCTTGTCAGGAATCAACTCGGGATTCTTCTCAACTTTGGCGGAGACGGTCGCCAAAGAATGGCAAACGGAGTTGAGGCTGTTGATGTACCTGGTAGCCTTGCCAACCTCTTGCTTCCACTTTTGGTCCCGCTCTCGTGCAGCCCTTCGGGCAGCCACCGCGGCGTCGTCCTCTTTCTTCGTTTTTGTAGCCTTCTGCGGCTTCCCTTCTCCAATCACCATGGGGCCTTCATCCTCGGATGGAATGCTCCAAACATCGTCGTCGATCGCGAAGGCAGAGCTGCCTGGACCATCTGCTGGGGGTGAAGCAGAATCTGCCGGCTTCTTGCCTTTGACCTTCTTCTTCTCCTTCAAGCGGTTCTCCTTCTCCAAGATCTCTTTCTCCACGGTACCACGAATGTCATCATCGGAGATCGTGGACAGTGGTGCTGTCCAGACTTCACCAAAGACCTGACAAAGACGATTTTTCGGGCGCAAAAGCATTCTTTGGAAAATAGTTGAAACAAGAATTAAACATGAATTATGTGTGCCCCAATGTACTGCATACTAATCTCCAAAGGGCCTTGTCCTCGCGCATCTCCCCGTTGGCTTCAATTCGCTTCGTGTCGAAGCCCCTTGTTGCCCACACTGACAGAGGGAGAAACTCACGATTGCACCTGATCCTTCTTTGCTCCGTATGGAAGTGGGTCATCTGTGAGACCAGGGAACTTCTAACGTGGCTCCACCGTCCATTTTTGGGCGCGCACTTGATGGCACTTCCAGCATGCTTGAAGAATTGCACCTGCGACTCTGGTGTCATATTGTTCCAGGATTCCGGTAATCCGCCCATGTGACGGTAAAGGATCTGGTACACATTGGTGCAGGACTTGCATTGCCAATTTGCGCCTCTGAGAACAGCGCTATCCTTTGCGCTACAATCCAGGCCGCACTTAATGCAAGGAAACAAGGTGTCATCTGGCTGCGTCTCGGCGATCGACTGCGCAGACATGGCCAGTTGTAGCAACTTGGGTTTTACCAAGTCAAGGCAGCCAAAAAGTTCTCCAAAAAGAACACTGGACGCTGTAGAGGACCTTGAAACATCTATGTTTCGCCTACAGAAATCAAATAGATATCCTATAGATATCCGATAGATATCCGATAGATAGCAATAGATATCTGATAGATATCCGATAGATAGCAATAGATATCCGATAGATATCCGATAGATATCAATAGATAGCAATAGATAGCAATAGATAGCAATAGATAGCAGATAGATATCAGGATAGATATTTCTCATGATTTTGAAAGATAGCAATAGATAGCAATAGATATCAGGAAAGATATTCCAAGTGATTTTGATAGATAGCAATAGATAGCAATAGATAGCAACAGATAGCAATAGATAGCAATAGATAGCAATAGATAGCAGCATCGGTATCCGATAGATATCAAGCATAGACTTATATAACAGATAGATTCCAGTAGATGTTCGATGCATGTCCGTTCCTCATATATGTAGAAACTCTTACTTCACAGCGGCCCAAACAAGCCCAAGAAAAAAAAAAAAACATTTCAAACTTTAACAGAGCACACCTATAGCGGGCACACCGCTTTGACCAAATGACAGCGCAAAAACATAGTATACCTTTGCAGCGGAGCACACCGCTCGCGGGCACACCGCTGTCGCTATACATCTGGCTCTTTGGCGGAAGCACCGCTCTTTCTGTTTGAAAATGTCTTGGATAAACGCAGCTCCAGGAAACATCGATGAGCCTTTTTTTTACCGGGCAAGTTGCTGTGTCAAGCTCTTAGACCTTGCGAGCAGGCTTCTTCATGTGCGCAGCCGATGCTGGCTTCTTCATCTTGTTTTGCACCTTCTGCTTGGGTCGCTGCTGCGTCTCATGAGGAAGTCCCCGAGGCAGGCCATTTCCCCGACTCATCCTGACAACCATCTAGATCATCTATATAGGGTGGAACAGGGAATAAACTGTGAGAAGAAAAATCTGAAGACGAGGCTCTGTTGCGCAAGCCTTGCGTCTTCATCACTGCTGCCCTCTACATCTCCGGAGCTGCCAAAATCACCCCAGAGTTCTTCAAGGGTTAGCTTCCTCATCTCTGGTCCAATCACGGTGTCTTCCTTCACAGCTGCAATTTGGCATGACCCAAGGATCATGGACGGATTGCCGCTGCTCAAATCACAGAAGCCAAGAAATGCATCCATCACCTCAGGTTGCGCGAGACACATGTTGAAAAGCCAGTCTAGTATATAGGGTTTTTAAAAAGCTGAGCTCATTCTATTAAAAAGAGATTGCTTTCAAGCGGTCACACCGCTATCACCTTCTCTCCAAATTTTGTTTCATCGGTATTTGTTCAGACCCTGCCTTGTGGAAGACTGTGCGTGGACCCCATCTGCCAGGAATCTTGCCAATCTCTTGGCCAGAGGTAGGTACGCTCACCTTCATCTCCTTCTTCTCCCTCAGCCAGGTAAACTCAAAGCACAAGGTACCCTCAGGGACACCTGTGGGACGAACCACAAAAGCATCAGCTGATCGAACAGATTGGTACCTGCAGCGCTGAGAGAGAATTTTTTTTTATGTGTTCGAAAAATCGGTATAATATTGAAGACGCTAGACATTGATTGCCTTCTCTCTTCTCTCTTCAACTGGTTGGGAGAAATAGCATTATATCCAAGTGTTTCTTTATTATATCATATTCATGAATATATACCTCCTTTTAATGACTTGTGAAGACAAACGACATGCGCCAGCTGGGCTTGTGCTTCAAGTTCTCGTGGTTAACCAAGGTGAACTTCAAAGAAGAAGTCCCATCTCCCATCCACAAAACTTTGTCGTTGAGTCTGTGCCGGGTCTCTTGAGCTGGAGGGAGGCTCTGAAAGGTCTTCGGCTTCGCCCATGAATCCCAAAGCCGCTCTTCGGTGAGCTCCTCCATTTCTCTCCATGTGATGAAATGCCACTCAAATTTGGTCATTGGAATGTCAGATTCGGTGTTCCTGCGCAAGGCGGTGGACATCCAACTAGACACAGTCAAACCTGCTCTGAGCCTGATGAAGTCATGGAACTATAGCAAAGGCAAGTGCCATATGAAAGCGGGAACACCGCTATATACGATGATCTACTATATAGCGGACACACCGCTTTGGATACAACAACTCCTAAGCGGACACACCGCTGTACCAGCAACAAGAATGACATATACATATACATATCCATATATGGACAAACATACATACATACACACATATATATATATATAATGCATACATACATACCAGGTAGTTACCAAAATCTAACAACTCAAGTTCCTATAGTGCAAGTGATACTTGGGCCGCAACTTGAAAGGCCATCTTTTTTGCACTTCTCAGCCAAGGATCCTTGCAAGCTCCATCCGTGACATATCCCTCAGCGTGTAGAGAAAGCACGCTGCACAGCACGGTGGCCAGCTGCCCTGGCTTTCAATTTGATAGCATCCTTTTTCAGGCTGCTGTCCTTCACCAACCTACCTAAGCAAGGTTGATCAAAGATTCGGGAAATTGTCTTTTTAAGGGGAAAAGCGCAAACGAGCTGACTGAAATCCAATCAAGATGCTTCGGGTTTGGTGGTAAGCCCTGCTGTAGACATCCTTCGCTGTCATTTGAAGCTCCCGTTTGTCCACCTTGGCCTTCTTGACCTGCGGCTTGGCCTTGATCTCCTGGCCCTTGCGAGTCTTCTTCAGCTTGTCTTTGTCCGGCTTCTGAGCTCGCGTCTTCGACGTCTGGTCCTTCTTCTTTGTGTTATGCTTTCTGGTCTTGGCCTTCTGCTTCTCCTGTGGCTTCTTCACCTTGGCTTTGCTCGACGCCTTAACCGGGCAAGATGCCTTTGACTTGGCCTTGGGCTTTGCAGCCGCCACCTTTGGAGTAGCTCTGAGCATCTCTTTCTTCTCCACGTCACGGTTTTTCAAAGCTTCAGCCAACTTCTGCACTGCATCCCCCTCTAGCTCCTCTGTGAGCTCACCGCCATCTCCATCATTCGGCTCAGCTTCTTGACGATCGGGAAGATCTTGGTCAGGAACTGCGCACTGCTCTTCTGGCGCAGCTTCAATCTTGTCCTAACATGGCACACCCGTGTACACATTAACATGTATATGGGGAGAAACAGACAGATAGATAGATAGGTAGATAGATAGATAGATAGATAGATAGAAGTTAAACGCGTCTGCACAATTGCTAATATACATATATGCATATATATATATATATAAATATACATATACATGAGTAATGACACATGTTTCTTAGTCAGTGATAACAAACATGATAGCGGACATACCGCTCAAGCGGGCACACCGCTTCGATACAGTCACACCGTGAACTAAAGTGTCTTACAATCAGCAAAGCTTGAACCTGAGAAATTCTTTCAAAAACATATATGGTGTCAACTCCACCATCCTGGAGTGCCAGCATGCCCGGCGGTGAAGGCAGCGCGGGAAACTGCGGCGCAGCACCGCCCGAGCTAGCTGAAGAAGCCGGGGTCCTTGGAGACCCACTTGCATTCGCATTCTGCCCCATGCGGAAAGCTAATTCCATCAGCTTCATGTCCTTCTCCAACCCTGGGTCACTGGTCGCCTTCTGCTCAGCTGGTCCACGCCACCGCAACTTGGTGGAGCTAGCTGCCATCAAAAGCTCCTCCATCGGCAGTCCTTGATCGCTTAAATTCTCTCCAGGCCAATTCCACTCCAAAGAATTCACCCCTGAAAAAAATCACCGAATTCAGCAGAGACACTGCATGGAACAAACGGTTCGTGAACAAATGCTTGCAAATGATATTCTGCTGGTAGCTCACGAGGCTCCCCAGGTAGAGTTAAGAGGTATTCCCCATAGTCCTGATCAGTGGCCCGGTTGAGCGCCTTGAAGCTTTTCCACTGCTTCTTCAAACCATTGATGAACTGGTAGAACTCAAAAGCGGTCAGAAGCCCTGCGCCCTCTGGCTTGGTCATCTGAAGAAGGTTTCCCAGGAGCGCGAATGTCCCTTCTGAGGGACACCTCAAACCTAAGAGCCAGCAGTGTTGAAATAACACTATCGCTGCCTTCTCGCGCGAGGATTGCTTCAGCCCATCCCATATGGGAGCGGTCAGGTAGCGGTGCAGAGAAGAATAATTCTGCTGCTTCCTCCGCTCTGCCATCTTGATCTACAGTTGCCTATATGGGAGAGTGAAACCGGAACAGCAAATGCTGCAGTCACTAGACATAGATTGCCACAATGGTATTATCTCTATCTAGTCTAGTTCACAAAACCTGTTGCCTATATATAGCGTTCACACTGCTGAAGACTTACAAGCGGACACACCGCTAGCCAACAAGACGAAAAAACCCTACAAGCGGACAAACCGCTTCGCCACAACATGCACAACCCTTTGAAGCCCTTTTTTTACCACCTTTCGGACCATTCGGACCATTCGGACCGTTCAGCTTCATTTTGCAGTCGCTTCGTCCACCCGCCTCGTCCACGCCAGATTCCGAAGAGTCGCCATTGACGCTGCCTTGACGATTCTCCAACCCTGAAGTCGTAGATCCCTGTGGACGCATCCCCACCTCAAACAGGCTAGAGCATCAAACCAAAAGAAACCAAAAACAGAATTTCGGATATGCTGATATACTTTTGATTTTTTTTCGGCGACAGATACGTGTAGAACCAGACGCAAAATAACAAACTGCAAGTCAAGAAGCTCCGTGCTGGAGGAACCGGGTAGGGAGCAGCTGCCTTCACTCGCGTCCCAACGGTTGTAGGCATGGCTGGGACAGGTGGTGGGCGCGGCACACCCGGTGGATGTGGCACACCCAAAGAAGGTGGCACACCCAATGAAGGGCCCAGTGAAGGTGGGACTGCATCACTGGAAGAAGACGCACTTGCCGATACACTAGCAGCCATACCACCAATCGAAGCGACTTCAGGTGCCACATGGGATGTATGTGCGCTGCTTGTGGCTGCAAGACCCGCTGTTGCATCACCAACACCTGGATCAACACTTGGCCCCAATGTCAATCGCCATGGCACATTCTTTCCTCCTGCGTACAGCAAGCACTGCTTATACCTAAGATTCCTCCTATATATATATATATATACACACATCATTCCTCTATATATATATATATATTACAAGCGGACACACCGCTAGCGGAGACACCGCTGCATCCAACAAAACAGAAAAACATGAAATCCAATAAAACGACTCCTCCAGCTGCCGCAGATGCCGGGCAACCACTAGATGCCGACGCCCTTGCTGGTGCCTTTGGAGCAGCCTTGGGCAGAGCAGGCATCGGATCCGCTCTCCTAGCAGCATTTGCTGCCCGACTCTTGCAAATTGGCTGCGGCAGCTTGCGCTTCGGGCGAGGAGCCAAGTGAACAGGGGGTGGCTCACTTGGATTGGCAGCTGCTACTTCGGGTTCGGGCGCAGGTTCAGCTGGCAAAGCTTTATCCATTGCTAAGGCTCTACGTTTCTTTTCTCTATACAGAAAAGCTTTTCACATTCATGACAATACACACACATCTATCTATATATCTATACCTATTATCTTTCTATCATATATATATATATATCACTATCCATATTTGTTTGCTTGCCGCTGGCCGCACAGGAACTGTTCCGATTTGAGAGGGCAACCGTAAAATCACAGTTGCTGATCAAGAAAAAACAACAGCGGCCACACCGCTATGTACCTACCAAAAAAGTTTGCAAGCTGAAAGCTACTACTAATAGCGGACACACCGCTACAATCCAATCTGATTCTGACAAAATGAAACAGTATAACAAAGTATATAACATGTTGCACAAAGCACTTTTGAGTTTCTATTCGTAACTTCCTCAATGCAACATTTTCAATTTTTTGCACACTAAATAGCAAAAGCCATTTTTTTAACATTTACAACTATTTTCGTGAAAAAAATCAAAAAAACGCAAGGAAAAAATAAGTAGGATAAGTAGAAATAAGTAGACCTAAGTAGAAATAAGTAGATGTAAGTAGACTTACCCTACTTAGACATTCCGAAACTTTGTGAACTTAAATCTACTTATTTCTAGTTACTAAGTAGGTTAATCAGAATTAAATCCATATAAGTAGCGACTAAGTGGAATAAGTAAAAGTGTTAACTTAACCTACTTACTACAACTTAAAAGCTACTTATCCTACTTAAAACCATGTTAAAACCTACTTATAAGTAGGTTATAACTACGTAAGTAGGAACGGTCCATAAGGTAGGAACCAACTTTATCTTGCATTGGATTTTTGCTGACCTATTTCCACAATATTGCAAAGCTTTTCAGACATCAAATGAAGCTCACCTCTGCTGATTCGGATTAAGCCAGTTGATGCCAAAAATGGAGATCTTCAACTAGTACATGCAGTTTTTTTTCAGGAAACATTGAGATATGTGTCGGATTGGCTTGACCATCGCTTGTTTACCTTAGCCATTTGAAAAAAAGGTTAGGTCTCGTGCAGCCCAGCCCACAAAACAATGGATTCCCACTCTCAGAGCAAGAGTGATGATGACTCCGTGGTTGAAGTTCCCTTGTCTGCCAACGTCCGGCCACCAGCCACTAGACTTTCTTCCAGAAACTGAAAATGATGATTTGCAGCCAAACAAAAAATTGAACTTGAGTTCAGTCAATACCCCGCCAAGGCTTTCAATCTACAGCGTTTGCTGTCATCACGGTCCCTGCAGAGTCCAGTGCCACGACCGACTCCGAGCGCTCCTGCATCCGCCAGAAAAGTTCAGACACCACCTCTAGTGGCTTCGGCAGCTGCAGGTAGTTCCCAAGGCTGGGTCTGATGAGCATGAAAATAATGGGTATCTCCCCTTCATGTTTTGAAATCCTCAAGACCAGCTGGCTCGTAAGAATCCCTAGTCAAAATAACTACTTGTGCCAGACTGTTTCAAAACGAGCAATGTTTGTAGAAACTCTTAGCCCTACCAGGTGCTAGCTTGGTACATGGCCTCCTTGGCCGTGTTGGATCTGATGATTCATCTGGGGAAAAG